GGACAGGCTTTGGGGAGTCAGGACGTGAGTGACACGTTGCAGGATTCCCAGCCTGCTCACTATGTTTGTATGGCTGGTCCATTCAGTTTATGGTCACTGGTAAAAGTAAAAAGTGTAAAGCTCAGCAAAGTGGTCTAGGAGTGAGGCAGTAGAATTCCTGATTGGTTGGTGATATAACTTGAGGTGTTCAAGCTAAGATAGGGAATTCAAAAGAAATCTCCACAACCAGATGCCAGTGAGAATGTGGAACTTAATGACTCGACATGGGAGTGATTTATTGTCACACATTTGAGAGGAAGCTAGACTAACATACGAGGCAGGAGGGAGTAGTAAGGGCGTGGAATGCCCTGCCTGCAAAAGTAGTAGACTCGTCGACTTTAAGGGCATTTAAATGGTCATTGGATAAACATATGGATGATAATGGAATAGTTTAGGTTAGATGGGCTTCAGATTGGTTTCACCGGTCGGTGCAACATCGAGGGCCGAAGGGCCTGTACTGCGCTGTTATGTTCTATGTTCTATGTTCTATGTTCTATTATTCTGATAAAGTTAGATGAGAATAGGCTGAAGTCGACCATGGATGTTGGCATGAATTTATTCATTTTATTCTTTCATGGGATGTGGGTGTCATTGGCAAGGCTAACATTTGTTGCCCATCCCTAATTTCAGTGAAATGAGTAGTTCGCTTGACCATGCCAGAGGGCAATTAAGAGTCAACCACATCGCTGTGAGGATCTGGAGTCACGTGTAGGCCAGACCGGGTACGAACAGGAGATTTCCCTGCCTTAATAGTAACTTTCAGGTCACCATTACCGAGGCTTTATTTTTTATTACAAGATTAATGTGTAATGATGGAATTTGAATGCCTGTCCCAGAGCAATGGCTTGGCTTTTTGCCTTACCAACCCAGTGACATTATCACTACACCCTGGAGACATGCAACAAGACATCCAAACTTTTATATCCACCCTCCTTCGCAATAACAAAAATTGTTCCGTTTATCTTCTGAATCATTTCATATGACTGCATTCCAACATTTTGTTCTTTGTGTTATTATCACTGTTAATAAAGCCTCCAGTATTCTAGCCTTCGTTAGCAGTGTCATAGAGTACAAGCGCAGGGAGGTTATGCTGAACCCATACAGGATACTGGTTAGACCTCAGCTGGAGTACTGTATATAGTTCTGAGTTCCATGATATAAGGATGGGAATGCATTTGAGAGAGTGCAGGAGCAGTTTACAACAATGGTTCCAGGGGAAAGAAACTTCAGTTGTGAGGATAAATTTATGAAGTTGGGATTGTTTTCCTGGGAGAGGAGAAGGATGAAAGGGGACTTGAATGAAGTTTTCAAAAACATAATCAAGTTTGAACAGAGTACGTTGGGAGAAACTGAACGACTTGTAAGAGGATTGAAAACCAGAGGCACAAAATTTAAAGTGTATTGCAACAGAGTGAATGTGAGGTGAGAAAATCATTATTCACACAGTGAGTGGTTAGGATCTGGAATGCAAAGCCTGGAAGTGTGATGGAAACAGGTATTCAAAAGGGATTTAGATGATTATTTTAATAGGAGCAATTTGTTGGGTTGTGGGGAATGGGAAGGTGATTGGTTTTAAATTAAAATACCAAGAAGCCATGGTAGACATAACAGGGCCAAATATTTTCCTTCTGTAATGTAGCAATTCTATGATTCATGCACCATCCCTTCAAAATCAGTCTGTACCTCACAGTTCTCCGTTTAAATGATGTGGCTGTGTTTCTGTTCTTCCTGCCAAAATGAACAAGTTCACATTTTCCCACATTGTACTCCCCTCTGCACTGTACCTCGTGTTTATTCATGAGGTGAGGGCATCACTGCCTCGGCCAGCGTTTATAGCCCAGAGGGCAGTTCACAGATAATCTGCTATCTCTGACAGATAATCACATTGCCATGGATCTGGAGTCACATGTAGGCTATACCAAGTAAGGATGGCAGACCTCCTTCCTTAAAGGGCCTTAGTGGGTCTGGAGTCACATGTAGGCTGTACCAAGTAAGGATGGCAGATCTCCTTCCTTAAAGGGCCTTCGTGGGTCTGGAGTCACATGTAGGCTGTACCAAGTAAGGATGGCAGATCTCCTTCCTTAAAGGGCCTTAGTGGGTCTGGAGTCACATGTAGGCTGTACCAAGTAAGGATGGCAGATCTCCTTTCTTAAAGGGCCTTTGTGAACCAGGTGGGTTTTTACAGTAACTGATGGTGGTTGCATGTCACTACTAGGCTAGCTTTTTGTTGAATTCAAATTTCACCATCTGCCATTATGGGATTCAAGCCCATGTCCCCAGATCATTAACCTGAGGTTCTGGATTTATAGACCAGTGACATTAAGACTACAGTACTGCCTCCCCCTGTTTAAACGCTCCATGGACAGCACCTCCCAAACACACGACTACTCCCATCAAGAAGGACAAGGGCAGCAGGTACTGGGAACACCACCCCCTGCAAATTCCCTTCCAAGATACTCACCATCCTGACTTGGAAATACATTGCTGTTCCTTCACTCTGCTGGAATTCCCTCCCTAAGGGCATTGTGGGTCTACCTATAGCACATGGACTGCAGCAGTTCAAGAAGGCAGCTCACCCCCACCTTCTCAAGGGGCAACTAGGGACGGGCAATAAATGCTGGGCCCAGCCAGCAATGCTGACATCCCGTGAGTAAATGTTTTAAAATGCGATTCCGTGGAACCTGCTTCGCTGGCTGGTCTGCAATTGTTCACTTCCACAGCTAAGGGGGCCAGAAAGGTGGCTACGGGTTTAATTATACTGAAAGCAAAATGGAAACCTCCTGCCGGCAACTTTGAGCTAACTACAACCAGCAGCTAGGAACGATCTGAACATGGAGCAGCAGGATATTCAGTGGAAGTATACACCAAGGGCAAGGTGGGACCATCATCTTAAAAGGCAAAGAATATAGAAGAGATAAAAGGGGTTTCAACTCATTGAAGACAAGTAAAGAAGATTGTGCTAATGAGTAATGTTGGTGTGTTAGCCATGTTAGTGGGTAATGGCAGGAGCTGAGAGCTGGCATGATGCCAACCAGATACAGACACACATGTATGAGCAATGCCTGTATGAAAGGCCATAGATTGAGGGTATTGACAAAATAATACATATAGACACATGGAGAAGCTGTTTGACTAAGAGAGTGGTTAGGGTCTGGAATGTACTGTCTGAGAGTGTGGGGGAGGCAGGTTCACTCGAGGGGTTAGGGTCTGGAATGTACTGTCTGAGAGTGTGGGGGGAGGCAGGGTCACTCGAGGGGTTAGGGTCTGGAATGTACTGTCTGAGAGTGTGGGGGAGGCAGGTTCACTCGAGGGGTTAGGGTCTGGAATGTACTGTCTGAGAGTGTGGGGGGAGGCAGGTTCACTGAAGGCTTTTGAGACAGGGTTGAATTATGATCTGAAAAGGAGCAAAGTGCAGTGTGAGCGGGAGAAAGTGGAGAAGGAGCAGTTGCTGCATTGTTCACTCAGAGAGGCAGCACCAATCTAAGGGGCTGAATGGCTGTTCTCTGTGCTACTAATATTCTGATTGAATTAGTGAAGAATCAAAGCATGAGCTGGCACGTTGGGAACAGAAGAGAAATCCAGATCCAATTATTCAATTGCACAGTTTAATTTAGAGATGTTTCTGTTTATTAATTATGCCTCTGAAAATGTTATTATCCTCACTTCTTAACATATTCATGATGCTGTTTGAAGATCTTCACGATTTAGTAAGTAATTGTCTTAATTATGAACTCCCCAGAGCGTATGAGAGATTGTTATCTGTTGTCACTGATGAACGCACTGCAAATTGGACAGGAATGGATTTTGCAATCGGTTTTGATTTGTCCACACACCCATATGATGTGAGTTAGAGAATCGCATTAGAGCAATGATTATATTTCTGTTTAATTGAATAGGCTCCTGTTGTCAGGACGGTCCCCTTAACAGTAATGACCACTCCCCTACTGCAGGAGATTAATCCTCTTTTTCCAGAGGCTTCAGCGCAATCCTGGGAAATTTGGTGGCCCTCAGAAAACAGAGACACAGAGAGACCATGAGAGTTATCCTTGAGGTTTATAAATGGGTGAAGAAAAGGAGCGACCAAATTCAGCTGAGATTTCAAATCAGCTCAGGGCTAGCCTGTCTTGTCAGCATTGTTTTTGTAGGGACCTAGGAAGTTTACAGTGAACTAAAAACATTGTGCTGCAGTGTGGATTTTGATTAAACTTGACACCAAACTGGAAGGGAAAGCACGCCAGAAACATCAGGAGGCCATCTCACTGTGTTAGCTGCAGGCTCTTTTCATTTGCAAGAGACTCTGGGAGTTGGCCCAGGTACAGGGATTAGTGGTGAAGGAATTTCTACATTGAGTGCTGCCTGCAAACCAGGTGCAAATTCCAGCTAAAACAGCAACAAAAACAGAAATTGTTGGATGAGCTAAGCAGGTCTGGCAGTGGAGAGAGATCAGAGTTAACGTTTCGGGTCCAGTAACCGTTCCTCAGCAAAAACAGCGTTGGATTCGAAAAGGACTCTGCCTCATTAGAGTCACACTCTAGAACATTTGCATATTGTAAGACATGAAATCTTCCTCTGAAAACAACAAATGCTGGAGGATCACAGTGGGCCAGGCGGCATCCATGGAGAGAGAGCAAGCTAATACTTCAAGTCTAGATGACTCTTCATCAGAGCAAATATTCCTCCCTGAGCCTTACTCTGCACTTATCTAAGACTTGGACTTTGAGATCTGGACATTTTTCCTAACTTTTGATTTTCTTTTAATTCTGCTGCCTTTTGTTTTGAGATTCTTTGCTTTGTGGCCGAGATGGTGCTGGAGAATGGTGACTTTTTACACTTCTCACTGGACTGATGCTTTCCTATACTTAAGTTCACATGACAATAAATTCTAATTCTCATTAGCTTACGCTGAAGAGGATTGTACAAGTGTGCCACTGTTAATGTTGTTGTTTTTTTAACTCTTTCAGCTTTTCAAAGGCAAGTTCTACTACTGCCAAGGTCACGACACCCGTAATGTCACTAATAGGTCGGACTGCTTGCTGGCTAACTATAGGTGGACCCATCACAAGTACAACTTTGATAACCTGGGACAGGTAAGGATTCCTCCCTAGATAGCTAATCCTCCTGTGGTGATCGAACAGCGCATCAGTAAATGTCCATCATTGGCAGTGATGAATGGGCACAAAGGTCTCAATATTGTCCTTACTCACTGGGGCCAGAAGCTCCCGGGTCAAGCCTCATTGTTGGCCATGGGGAGGCGCTTTGATAATCTGCCAAGCAGGTTGTTAATCCTTCCTGAGGGCAGGAGGAGAGGCAGGAGATTCTCTCCCGGTCAGTTGTACTGCAGGAGATAATGTATACTCCTACAGAACTTTCTCCGCGAGCACGGACTGGGTTTTAAGAAGCCCTCTCTCTTTCTTAAAAATTTAATTATAATTCAGCAGTGCAGCACAAACACCAGTTCCTACCTTTCCCTTCTGGACTTTTCCCTGTCGTGAAGACAATATCGCAAGACTGAAGAAATCAGCTCCTTCACATTTATAGGGAGAGATCCACCACCAAATTTACCAAGCACCCAGAAACAACATCACCGGCCTGGCTGGGTAGACCCTAGTTCATTTCCCTAAGCTATACGCATGGTGGCTCAGCGGTTAGCATTGCTGCCTCACAGCACCAGGCACTCAAGTGTAATTCCACTCTCTGGTGACTGTCTGTCTGGAGTTTGCATATTCTCCCTGTGTCTGTGTGGGTTTCCTCCTGCAGTCCAAAGATGTGCAGGTTAAGGTGGATTGACTGTGCTAAATTACCTGTAGTGTCCAGGGATGTGCAGGCTAGATGGATTGGCCATGGGAATGCAGGGTTACAGGCATGTGGTGGGTCTGGGTGGGAAGTTCTTCAGAGGGTTGGTGTGGACTCGATGGGCCAGATGGCCTGCTTCCATGCTGTAGAGATTCTATGACATGACACGAAATTATTAACTTCACTCTCTTTTTTGTTAACCAATTGATGAACTAAACAATTAACAAGTAACAAAAGAGAAGGATACAGAACAGAGTTGGGGAGAAACCTAGTTATTTATTTTAAATTATATTCCTTCTCTTTAATTTATAAACCTCCACCAAGTCACCACTTAACAAGCACTAAAGTAAGGTCACCATAATCCCACAGGTTTATCCTCCCGTCAGAGAGAGATGAACTAACTGGTGGTGGTTTAACCTGAGGGTGGCTGTGCCTGAGGCCACGGCAGACATTACAAAGGAGGATGTTTCACGGTGACCTCAGCTGGTGTGGGGATTGAACCCATGCTGTTGGCATCAAGTTACATCGCAAACCAGCTGTCCAGCCAACTGACCCTCCCCTACCCAAAGTATACACACACTACCCACCAAGGTGGTGTACTAATAACAGATAGAGGGGAGGGAATTAAAATAAAATAGAGTTGGAACCCAGACGATGCTACGTTTCTAATTATCTGGTCATAGAGTTATACAGCACAGAAACAGGCCCTTCGATCCAACGCGTCCATGCCAACCAGTTTTCCTAAGCTGAACTAGTCCCATTTGCCTGCGTTTGGCCTGTATCCATCTAAACCTTTCCTATTCATGTATCTGTCCAAATGTATTTTTAATGTTGTAACTGTATCTGCGTCTACCATTTCCTCTGGCAGTTCATACCACCCACTCGCCACCCTCTGTGTGTCCCTTTTAAATCTTTGTCTCCTTACCTTGAATCTAAGCCCTCTAGTTTTGGACTCCCCTACCCTCGGGGTAAAAAGACCTTGGCTACTCACCTTATCCATGCCCCTCATGATTTTATAAATGTCTATAAGGTCTTCCCTCAACCTCCTACACTCCAGGGAAAGAAGTCTCAGCCTCACCTCATAATTCACACCTAATAGTCCCAGTAACATCCTTATAAATCTTTCCTGAGCCCTCTCCAATTTGATAATATCCTTCCTATAGCAGGATGACCAGAACTGTACACAGTACTTCAAAAGTGGCCTCACCAATGTCCTGTACAACCTGGGTCTCCTGTTGTCAATCACCTCTGAAACTGTGCTGACTGACCCTTAAAGAGATCTTCATTTTCGACACAAATAATTTTTCCCGATAATAATAACCAGTGCACGTTGTGGATGAGAAATGACATACACTAATCCACTGCATGTTATGAGCTCGGACATGCCAACTGAGAATGGGAGAGAGTAGGCTTAGCTACTGTGGTTTCATGCAGCCACTGACTGATCAAATAGCAACCAGCCAAAGGCAGCTGTCCTCCCGGTGAGAGAATGCTGTAAGGTCTGAGGTTAGAGCAGAGCTAAAGAAATAAAAAAGGGGAAGGAAGTTCTCCATCATAAGGAAATCTACATAAAAGGGAATGAGTGTTTGAATTCAATAATACCACATGTGGGGGAATGGTTTTGAGAAAGGAGAAAAGAGAAACGAGTGGCATGGTGGCTCAGTAGTTAGCACTGCTGCCTCACAGCACTAGGGACCCAGGTTCGATTCTGCCCTCGGGCAACTGTCTGTGTGGAGTTTACACATTCTCCCTGTGTCTGTGTGGGTTTGCTCCGGTTTCCTCCTGCAGTCCAAAGATGTGCAGGTTGGGGTGGATCAACCATGGGGGATGGGTCTGGGTGGGATGCTCTTCAGAGGGTCGGTGTGGATCCAATGGGCTGAAAGGCCTGCTTCTACACTGTAGGGATACTACACAGTAAGGAATTTGAACCTGCAGAGTGAGGCAGTGTAATTGTGGTGAATACATGAGTGAAAGAACAATAACAAGCTGGGAGTGATACATGGTTAAATATGCAGAGAAAAGGGAGCTTGAGGAAGGAATGAAATTGTCTGTCAAACACGCTCATTTTTCAGCAAAGAATGGTACCATGGGGTTTTCATCTTGTTGTTCTGACAAAGGGTCACTGGGCTGGAAACATGAGCTGTTTCTCTCCACACATGACCTGCTGAGTTCTTTCAGCACCTTCTGCTTGTGTTTCCTCATTTTATGCACTTTATCAGTCAGCTGATCAGCTGACTATGTTCAGGCCATTCCTTTATTACAACTAGATTTGACTGAGTCAATCTACTGCCAAGAGGTGAGTTTAGTTGGAGGAGAGCTCACTTCTCCAAACATTCCAACGCGCTGATGTTGTTACCATGCAATCTGTCCCCATGACCACTGTTTACAGAAAGTGTCCTTGTTCCCTCACTGCAGGCTCTGATGTCACTCTTTGTGCTCGCTTCGAAGGATGGCTGGGTCAACATCATGTACCATGGGCTGGATGCAGTCTCCATTGACCAACAGGTAAAATTTCCCCTACCCTTCCTTAACAGGGTCCCATGTTAATGGCATTCATGTATCTCCTTTCATGACCCCAGCACCCCATCACCCTCCAAAATGCTTTACGGCCAATCAGGTAATTTTTGAAGTGTACTCACTGGCGTAATGTAAGAAATGTAGTGGCCTACTTGTGCACAGTAAGATCCCACTGTCTGATAACGGTCAAATAAGCATGATCAAATTTGATGATCAGCTCTGCGCAATTGGTAGAGGAATAAATATCTCACAGGTTATGAGAGTGTATTCCCCTGCCCTTTTTTGACATTGTGTCATGGAATCTTCCATACCCATCCAAGAGATTAGCCGTGCCCCTTGGTTTAACGTCTGATCTGGAAGGTGACAGCAGGAGTTGAACTTACATTTTGTTGAGTTTCCGGTGTGGGACTTGAAAATGTAACCTTTGGCTCGTAGGTGCAAATGCTACGCATTGAGACCTCAGGGCAGTCACTGGGCATGGAAGGTGGTGATAAGGGCTCTTGTGGGACAGTGGTAGTGTCTCTACCTCTGGGTCAGGAGACCCAGATTCAAGTCCTACGTGCTCAGGAGGTAATGACATTTCTGAACAAGATAATGTTTTAAAAATCTGGAAGATGGTGAAGACCATTTGCTGCCAGGAAATCATTTAATAATCATTGTCAGAAAGTGGGCTAGATTGGGAAAGACTGGAGTTTAATGCCCATCCCTAATTGACCCTCATGAAGATGGTAGTGGTTACATCTTTGTGAACCATCTTTGTGTAGTGTAGAGACACCCCAGTGCTGTGAGAGAGAAAGTTCCTGTGTTTTGACCCGGCGACGCTGAAGGAATAGTGATATATTTCCAAGTCGGGATGGCCATGGAACTTGGAGGAAATCCTGCAGCTGGTGGTATTCCCTTGGTGCCTTCTCCTTCAGGTTGGTAGAGGATGTGGAGTTCAGGAGATTCGGCTTGGAGCTGGTCTGTCATCGTTGGCAGAGAGCTCGCTGCAGGAGGTGTTGCCACTCAGCAAGGCATTCGTGGGCACTGGGCTAAAACACAGAGAGGTTGAGAGATAATTAGCAAAATTAAAGGAACACAGGCCACTCTGAGGAGAGCTGGTGTAAGATCACCAGTGCTGAGGGGCTGGCCCACACTTCATTATCACAGATAAGAGAAAGCTTCACAACAGTGCAGGGGATACAAAATTGACATTAATTCCTATCTCTGTCACTGTCTCCAGGCCCACAGCCCTCTGAGATCTCTGTAATTCTGATCTCTGGCACATACTCACCACTCACAATTCTATCGCTGTACTGTCACCGTCCATACCCTCAGCTGCCTTGACCCTAAACTCTGGAATTCCCTCCCTAAACCTCTGCACATCTCTCTCCTGCACTAAAAAGTTGCCTTTAAAGCACAATTTTGGGAATCCACATTAATATCCCATTAAATGGCTCAGTATCAGATGTTGCCTGATAGACTGTAATGATAGATAACTAGAGTGCTCCTGTGAAAAGCCTTGAGACGTATTACTGTGTGAACAAAATGATATAAATGCAAATTATAAATCAGAAGAGTGCTGAAAACAAACTGCAAAATATAGATGACATTAAAAGATATTTTGACCAATATGATTAAACAGGCTTCTTAACTGGGTTAATTTGTATCTATAACAGCACTGTCAGCTTGAGTAATGGCAGCTTTGGACAGATGCATTGCTATATTCCAATGACATTGTTGGTCCTTCATTAAAATGGAAGAATTCTGATAACAGATGGATAACACATGAGGTTATAAAACTAATTAAGTCATGAAATGGATCGTGTAAATGGGCTGAAAGGTTTAACTTACTTTTAAGATTGAAATGGATGAGCAAACTGGATTACAGCCAAATTGATACAATCACTCACACTCTCATGCTGACACACACCCACACACATACATACACTCATTCACACACCCACACACATACATACACACACTCACTCACACACCCACACACATACATACACCCACACACATACATACACCCACACATTCACATATACCCACACACTCGCACACATACAGACACACACACACACACACATTCACATACATTCAAACTCTCAACCTCACGCACATGCTCTCACATACACACATTTTCATTTACACTTATACACACCAATCTACTCATACATACACACTCAAACATAAACTCACAAACATACACACAAACACGCACACAGAAACAGACGCGTGCACACAGACACGCACACACACGCACACACACAGTCACACATGCATGAACACACATGCGCACATGCTGACTCATTCACGCACATACACCATATTTGCACATGTTCTCACACACCCTCAGACTCGCAAACATATTTTCACACAGACACACACACACTATCCCCACACAATCTCTCTCACACACACTTATTCACACACTGACACACACACACGCATGCAAGCACACACACATACACACACACAATCTGCCACATACACTCACACATACACATAATCATATAGACACACACACACACACACACACACTCCTCCATTGTGTTATGATCCCAGTTGACATTATTATTGAACAAGTCAGAAACCTGGCTTGACCATTCAAACTTTGAGTTGTTTTGTTTATATTTGAAGTGGTCTCCCTCTCAAACATAGGTGTGCAATTTTGCAGATTTTGCATTAACAACAAAGCCAAGGAATGTTATAAAAGAAGCAACAATAAAATAGAATAATCCAAGCTATCTAATTATAATACAAATTCCAAGATTTTAAACACACTGTAAAAATATAACCCCATTAATCCCTAAACACTCTTTTATAAACTGAAACGAAAAACAACATCTTTTTACTATATACAAACACAACCATGGTACAGTTCCCAAATCACCATTATATAATATTCACACCAGACTCCCTGTATCTAACAGATGTATCTAAACTTGCTTGTAACTTTTAGACTGGAACTATAAAAGCTTCTGACTAGATTTACCACATACCTATGTTTCACTGTATACAGCATTAAGTAACCTCTGCAGGGTTTTATTCCAACATTTCTGGTCTGGAACTAACACTAACTCTTCACTCGAAGGAACTTTAATACACTGTAACTCTCAGTCTCTTCTCAGGAGCATTACTCTACACAGCCATCCTGTTTCAAGGACTCCACAGGACTGCCCTGCTCAAAGTGAAAAGTAAAACTCAAAGCCTCTTAGTTATTTTTCTCAAGCTTAAACATTTCCAGAACTCTGTAAGAAACATTTGAGGCTGTATTATTTCACTCTAAAATAATTTAAATGGCCTAAACTAAAAACAAGTCTATTATTACACAACTCCATTCCTTCTACAGTCAAGCTTCAAAAACGGTTTCTAAAAGAAATCGCAATGGTTACAGAAATACGTGCAAGTTGTACAGAAAAAGTTGTAACTCAAAAACTAGAAACTGAAACCCACCCCAAGTATCATTAAAAATTAAACATGTAAATCCCATAGTTTATATCACAGCTGGTTAATTCTCACCTGTTTCTCAGTCCATCTGACCTCAGTCCTCTCCAAACTCACACTTACTTGGACACACTTACTTGTACATGCCAACTTACACTTACAAACACACACACACACATACACAGTCTCATTTATACATGTACACAAAATTTGTCCTCATTCTCCACTATTTGCCTGTTTTTCTTCAATTCCAATCTCGCATCTTTTTCTTTCTTTTAATATCTTAGTGCCTCCTTACTTTAACTCTCTCTCTCTCTCTCTCTCTCTCTCTCTATCTTTTCTTACACTTTTTATTATGTACAAACACAACCACGGTACAGTCCCCAAACCACCATTGTATAATATTCACACCAGACTCCCTGTATCTAACAGATGTATCTAAACTTGCTTGCAACTTTTAGACTGGAACAATTATAGCTTCTGACTGGAGCTACCACATACCTATGTTTGACTCCCAGGAGTGTACCTTACCCTCCTGAATTTCCCTTTCTAGCAGCCACCCCTTTGAGCTGAGGGTGTGTATGATCTCTTGCTACCCCAAGGTCCTGCCTGTCCACGTCTCCGATGGGCAGGAGTGGCAATGTTCATTGGGAATGCAGAAGCCCAGGCAACGCTAGCTGTTTGCCAGTTTCTGCCAGGCTGTCTTGGTTAAACTCCATAACCTAGGCTGAAAGGTGATGCCAAGGTAAGACCAAACAGACTGGGGCTTTTACCTCCAGCAAAGAAAAGGCTAAGGAGGACCATGATAGAGGTCAGCAGAGGAATGAAGACTTGATGTTTCCACTTGTGGGGCAGACCAGAATCAGGAGTGTTAAACCTAATAGCGACTAATGAATCCAATGGTGAGGTGATGGCCGAGTGGTATATGGGGAGGCGATGACCTAGTGGTATTGTCGCTGGACTGTTTATCCAGAGATCCAGATAACATTCTGGGGACCTAGGTTCGAATCCCGCCATGGCAGATGGTGGAATTTGAATTCAATAAAATATCTGGAATTAAGAATCTAATGATGACCATGAATCCATTACCAATTGTTGGGAAAAACCCATCTGGTTCACTAGTGTCCTTTAGGGAAGGAAACTGCCATCCTTACCTGGTCTGGCCTACATGTGACTCCAGACCCACAGCAATGTGGTTGACTCTGAACTGCCCTCTGGGCAATTAGGGATGGGCAATAAATGCTGCCCAGCCAGCGACGCCCCCCATCCTGTTAATGAATGAAAAAAAAATTGGGAATTAAATCTCCTTTACCCAGAGAAGTGGGGAGAATGTGGAACTAGCTCCCACCAAGAGCGGTCAAGATGAATGTAGTCAATTCCACCCTTGGGCAACTGTCAGTGTGGAATTTACACATTCTGCGTGGGTTTCCTCCGGGTGCTCCAGTTTCCTCCCACAGTCCAAAGATGTGCAGCTTAGGTTAGCCATGGGAAATGCAAGGTTATGGGGATAGGGCAAGGGGCGGTTCTGGGGTGGGATGCCTTTTGGAAAGTTGGAGCAGACTCAATGGGCCAAAAGGCCTCTTTCCACACTGTAGGGTTCAATGATATTATCATTGTTTTAAGGGTAGGTTGGGTAAATGCATGAGCGAGAAAAAGGCAGAAGGATAGGGTGATTGGGGTGAGATCAAGCAGGCGAGAAGCAGTGTCCCTCGAAGATTTTTGTTTCTTCTACGTCAACCCCCGAGGTCTGGGTGGGACAGTGACCTCCAGAATCCTGCGTCAATGCAGTGAGATGCGTCACGGGACAACGGGGCGCACAGCTTAGAGCAAATGCCAGCTGCAAGGAGAACATTCTGTTACTGTGATGCTGGGTCCTGAGAGAGGCTATCGTCATAGAGTCATACAGCACAGAAACAGACCCTTCAGCCCAACTTGTCCATGCTGACCAGGTTTCCTAAACTGAACTAATCCCATTTGCTTGCGTTTGGCCCACATCCCTCCAAAACTTTCCTATCCATTTACCCGCTCAAATGTCTTTGTGCTGTCCTCGGTATGAATTAGGGAGACAACGAGAGACTACGCTATCGGTGAGATTAACTTTTTGTTTAATATTTTGCACGCTACTTACACAGTTAAGCTTACCACAAGGCTGGACATCAGAATCCGGGTCTGCTAAATGTGATCTCTATTGTTCCTACTGATGTAGGTATTACACCCTCTGGGTGAACTCTCACTGCCAGAACTGGAGGGTTGATAAACGTAGCACTGTGAGGTGTCAACTGAAGCCTGGCTTAAGGCCCACAGGAGGCATGGTGGCTCAGTGGTTACCACTGCTGTCTCACAGCACCAGGGACCTGGGTTTGATCCCACCCTCAGGCAACTGTCTGTGTGGAGTTTGCACATTCTCCCCGTGTCTGCGTGGGTTTCCTTTGGGTGCTCCGGTTTCCTCCCACAGCCTGAAGATGTGCAGGTTAGGGTGGATTGTCATGCTAAAATTGCCTGTAGTGTTCAAGGATGAGTAGTTATAGGGGGATGGGTCCTGGATTGGATGCTCTGAGGGTCAGTGTGGACTTGTTGGGCCGAAGGGCCTGTTTCCACACTGTAGGGATTGTATGAGCTATTCTATGAGGATTGCTGTGTCTCGACCACAGTAACCGATTGCCTCCCTGTCTCTTGCAGCCCATCATCAACCACAACCCTTGGATGTTACTGTATTTCATCTCCTTTCTGCTCATCGTCAGCTTCTTTGTGTTGAACATGTTTGTTGGGGTGGTGGTGGAGAACTTCCACAAGTGCCGTCAGCACCAGGAGGCCGAGGAAGCAAGGAGGCGCGAGGAGAAACGTCTGCAGAGGCTGGAGAAGAAACGCAGGAGTAAGGAATTTCTCTGGAAGCGCCCCTTCAGCCCACTGCGCCCAAGCAAGCTTTCAGAAAGAGCTGCCCACTTAGCCCCAGTCCCTTCACTTTCCCTGCTCTGTAGCCACTTTCTTGTGAAAGGAGAATGTTTCCTGCATTCACTGACTTCTCTTAATCATTTCTAGAGTCAGACAGCAGAGAAGGAGGCCATTCAGCCAACTGTACTAGTGACTAATCTTTGAAATCAGTCCCACTTGCTGCTATTGCCCTGAGCCCCTGCCAGTTTGATTTTTCAATTACTTATCCATCTCCTGTTCGAAAGTTCTTATTGAATCTGCTCCACTGCCCTTCCAGGCAGTGAGTTCCTACTCACTGCCACATTAAAGGATAATTTCTGTTCTGCTTCATTGGCCAGTTGTTATACTATGATCTGGGAGAGAGGTCTGTGAATGTAGCAGGAGCCTTTTGCTCCAGGGTCAAACATTACCTTTCCAATGAAAAATGATGATGGCTAATTATATACAGATCTTAACCGTGAGGTTTTTGGGCAGAAGCACCCCCCAGCAATCATGTAATCTTATGTTTCAGAGATAGTAGGAACTGAAGATGCTGGAGAATCTGAAATAACAAGGTGTAGAGCTGGATGAACACAGCTTCTGAAGAAGGGTCTAGGCCTGAAACGTCAGCCTTCCTGCTCCTCTGATACTGCTTGGCCTCCTGTGTTCATCCAGCTCTGCACCTTGTTATCTCATGTAATCTTATGTCACTTCTGATGTAAGGAATCTTGTACACTTATTCACATTAACCCTCTACACTACAGTTTTATTAGAGGTTTTTGGGGTTGGTAGCTGGCCCAAGGTTGTAATCTTTATACCTGGTACCGCAGTGAATTTGGCGTTGTCCCTTCCCTTTTAATATCTGTGTCAAATCCCTGGCAGAACTTGGCAGAAATGTTTCTGGTCACTCTCATTCCATTTCCAAATTAGTATTCAGTATTAATTTGGGGGATGGGGTGCGAGATGTGGGCAATAATATTGGTGCAATAGGGCAGACTGGCTCTCACTGGGAAAGTGGGAAAGAGAGCCTTTATTCTGGAAGTACCTGCTGTGCCCGGAAGCAGGAATTCCCAACTCTGGTTAGACAAATGCCTGGAGGTACGATCACATGGTCTCCTAAATACAGTCTTCCTCCCCCCTCCCCCCCACCTCATTCCTACACCGTTGACCACCCAATGTATCCATCACCAATGCTCCCTCTGAACTGAGTAGCTGCACATGTGCTGGTCAACACGTGGATGCATCAACTTCCAATTCCGGAAGTTTCTGCCGTGCGTAGGTAGGAAATATTAGGGGGACTACAGGCCATCTCACCATGCCCTGCCTTCCCACAGCCAATGGGAAAACAAGCAGGCGGTTTGTTACCCAATTAGACAAATGGTAGTTGTTAAGTCAAAGAAGCCTGAACTGTTCCATTGCCTGATTTTTTAACATCATAAAAAAGAAGAGAACTTTTCAATGTCTATGGTTTTTCTTTTGGGGTTTACTCATTGCTGTAACCTGAAGATTGGTCTGGAATTCCTGGGGTCAGTCTAACACGGCTGCTGATTTGAGAGTTTTCAGACCAAACGATGTAGTTTGCTAACCAAAGGTGGCATTGTAAAGGGAGGGTTTTACCTGTGGTGGAAAGGAGAACAGAGCAAGTGGACATCTAACCAAACATTATTTTTATTATGCTTGCCCCTCCTCCCCCGTTGACCTGTGACCCCCCTGGAAGAGGCCCAACGTTTGCCATATTACGCAGCCTACTCACCAGTCCGCCTCTTCATCCACACCATGTGCACAAGCCATTATCTGGACCTCTTCATCACCTTCACCATCTGCATCAACGTGGTGACCATGTCTCTGGAACACTACAACCAACCCAAGGTAAGGGTTTTCAACAATTTTACCCTCTTTCTCACTGTCCTGCCGTCTCACAAAGGCTTAATCCTACCCATTTATTCTATCTGCTATTACCTGTGTTACCTGTAAGACCATATGTCTTAGAAACAGAAGTAAGCCATTCAGCCCATCAAGTCTGCTCTGCTATTCAATAAGCCATGGCTGATCTGAAAATCCTCAACCCCACTTTCCTGTCATTTCTATGTGTAGTGATTGGACCCAGGTGGATCTTGTTGACTATGAGATGCTTGATTGGGGTTGTTAACTTGGGCCAATCAGGAAGCCCTGGCTGACCAATATAAACATGGATTTAGAATCTCCTCAGTTTGGTGGATTGACTCTGAGCTGGGTGGCCACAGCTGGTGTACTATGCCTAAGTAAATAGAGGGTTACCTGGTGACAGGATACCAGTCTCTGTGCAGGTATTTCACCCCTATAATCCTTGATTCCCTTCCTGATTAAAAATCTTTCTATCTCAGCCTTGCATATACTTATTGACTCAGCCTTGATAGGCCTCGGCAATAAAGAATTCCAGATTCACTACCCTCTGAGTAAACAAATTCCTCCTCATCTCTCTCATAAATGGGTGACCCCTTATCCTGAGATGATGCCTCTGGCCCTAGACTCTCCCACAAGGGGAAATGACCTTTCCAAATCCATTCTGTCAAGTCCTCTTGGAATCTTGTATGTTTCAATAAGGTCACATATCATTCTTCTAAACTTTAATGAGTACAGGCCCAATGTACACAACCTTTCCACATAAGACAGTCCCTCCATACTCAGGATCAGCTGAGTGAAACTTCTCTGAACTGCCCCCAAGGTCAGTGTATCTTTCCTAACTAAAGCAAGCAAAGCTGTCTATGATATTCCAGCCGTTGGCTATCTTTCTTCCTTTGGAATGAGCCGAGGCTCATTCTGAGTGAGGACCTAATGGGTACAATTTCCACTTTGGAGACCCGAACCCAGTGAATACTCCTGGTGCAGTACTGGGGGAGTGCCGCACTGTTTGAGATATGTATGCATTAAAGAGGCAACCTGGTCGTCATCACTTTGCTGCTTGTGGGAGCTTGCTGTGCTTAATTGGCTGCTGTGTTTCTTACTTTAGGGCAGTGGCTGTGTTTTACCTCACTGCCTGGGATGTGCTCTGAGAACCTGAGAAATACGCTGCACAAATGGAAGTCTTTACTTTTCTTATCCCAGCCCCCGGCTGTCGTGACACCTTTCTGTGGAACAAGCCCAAATGGTCATTCTCCTTTCGTCAGGCCCAGCAGTGAAAATGGGTAGGCCTATTTGGCTAGGACAGGCATCACCAACTAACATGAAACACAAAAAATAGGAGCAGCAGTAGGCCATTTGGCCCTTCGAGCCTGTTCCGCTATTCAGTAGGATCATGGCTGATCATCCAACTCAGTCCCCTGTTCTCTCTTCCTCCCCATACCCTTTGATCCCTTTAGCCCCAAGAACTATATCTAACTCCTTGAAATCATTCAACGTTGTGGCCTCAACACTTTCTGTAGTAGAGAATTCCACAGGATCCCCACACTCTGGGTGAAGACATTTGATATTTCTCCTCATCTCAGTCCTAAATGGGCTACATATCCTTAGATTGTGACACCTGGTTCTAGATTCCTCCTGGACATTGGGAACATCCTTCCTGTGTCTCCCTGTCCCGTTGTGTCAGAAATGTATTGGTTTCTATGAGATACCAGTGAATTCCAGTAACTATAGTCCTAACCGATCCAGTTTCTCTTTATACATAAATCCTGCTATCCTAGGAATCTTCATTCCCGAGTGAAAGGACAGGACATCAGTTTGAATAAAGAAGCAGTTATAAAGCATCCTCCACAATCTCACCACTTAACACTTCATAGAATCCCTACAGTGTGGAAACAGGCCCTTCAGCCCAACAAGTCCACACCAACTCTCTGAAGAGTATCCCACCCAGACCCATCCCCCTACCTTGTATTTCCCATGGCCAATCCACCCTAACCTGCACACCTTTACTGTGGGAGGAAACCGGAGCACCCAGAGGAAACCCACACAGACACAGGGAGAATGTGCAAACTCCACACAGACAGTCACCCGAGGGTGGGATCGAACCCAGGTCGCTGGTGCTGTGAGGCAGCAGTGCTAACCACTGAGCCACCGTGCCACCAGTGAGGTTATCCTTGAAGTGTGGCCTGGGCTGTAATGAAGGAATATACGTGCAGAGTAAGATTCCCCAAACAGCAGTGCATTCATAATGACGTCTTTATTTTTGCAGTATTGCTGGTGGGATAAATATTGGCCCAAAATGCTGGAGCAAGCCCAAATGGTCATTCTCCTTTTGTCAGTCCCAGCAGTGGTCATGAGGTCAGCTGGGCCCTCCCTTTAACATCCCTTTTTCCACTGACAGTGCAGCACTCCCTCAGAATGCAGTGTGTACTGAAATAGGGCTTGGCCCTGTTATTCTCTGATCCACGTTCTGACTGTCCAAGGTAGGAGCTAAGACATTGATGTGATCAGCACACCTTGCGGGAGAAGGGGCAGCTCTAATTCTGACCTTCCTCCCCTCCACCCCAGCCCTGACCAGGAACCCTGCACTGTTCAGCTTCATACCTCTGGCCATTCCCAGTTCCTCACCCACTACCCAATGCCCATCGGGACACAGCTCAGGCTGAGTTGGTTACAGTGAAATATTAACCAGAACATAACTTTCAACATAATCCAATCATCAAAATCCTCACTTTTTTAAAAGGAACAAAATGATAACTGTATTTGAGTTTTTATTGGATAACAGAATGCTTTTTTTTTCTTATTTTTGATTTTAGTTGAAGTACCAAGATGGTGGGAAGAGAGACAACTATCAGTAACAGACAGCAACAGAGAGAAAGGGAGTGAGGCATTGAGAGGAGGAGTGAGACAAGGAGTGACAGAGAGAGAGGCAACGTTAGAGAGAGAAGGTGAGACAGAGAAAGGGAAAGAGAGAGGAAGTGTACAGAGAGAGTGAGACAGAGAGAGAGAGAGGGAGTGACAGAGAGACAGAGTTTGAGAAAGGAGGAATGAGACAGAGAGGGAGTGTTAGGGAGAGAAAGGGATGTGACAGAGAGAGGTTGTGAGACAGGGAGTGATAGAGAGAGTGAGATAGAAATAGGGTGAGAGACAGGCAGAGTGACAGAGAGAGAGATATGTATTGAAGTAGTGTGACATACGGAGTGAGAGAGAAAAAGTGAGTCAGAGATAGGGTGAAACAAGGAGAATGACAGACAGGGAGCAGGCGAGGAAATGAAGGTGAGGAGCAAGGGAGAGAATCAGAATCATGAAGGTGAAATAAAGAGAGAGACTGAGAAAATGAAAAACAGATTAAGTAACTAAATAGAAAAAAGATACTTTGCTGAACTGTTGAAAAGTCGAATTAAAATGTTAAATTGAATGTTCTCTAGGGACTGGAATGGTAAATTTAATGAAATCATTGAACTATTCATGTTGTTAATTAAAGTGTTGTTCAGATTGAAGCTGAATGTGAAAGCTTTAGTCGTGTTTGCAAGTTAATTTCCTATTTGTTCACTTGAACCTTAATATTCATCCCTGACAAATACTGATCATCAGTCATTCGCATCGTGATATTTAATGGGGAATATATTACTGCCGGAATTGAGAACTTTTTAATCAATTTTTTCAAACTTAACTAATTTTCATTCCTGATGGTGCTGCCGATATGGCAATAGATATTGTGTACAATATGTTTGTAATAACACAATGGAACTAACGCAGTCAGTACAGGCCTCAGTTCGCTTCTGCTTGGCCTGTTTTCTGAGCAATTTTTGTTAGTGGTGCTTTGCTATTACCTTACACTGTCAGGGGCTGGGGGAGAAGGCAGGTCCCCAGTGTACCTCAGCCAGAACAGGATTTGTTGGCTGAAATTAAACAAGGGTCTTGAGGAATATAAAGGAAGCAGGAGAAAAGTTAAACAGGGAATTAGGAGAGCTAAAAGAGGCCGTGAAATGTCCTTGGCAAGAAAAATTAAAGAGAATCCCAAGGCATTTTACAAAAATAGAAATTGCTGGAAAAGCTCAGCAGGTCTGGCAGCATTTACAGAGAGAAATCAGAGTCAACGTTTCAGGTCCAGTGACCCTTCCCTGAAATGTTAACTCTGATTTCTCTCCATAGATGCTATCAGACCTGCTGAGCTTTTTCCAGCCAGTTCTGTTTTTGTTTCTGATTTCCAGCATCCACAGTTCTTTCGGTTGGTTTTTTTCTGTTATCCATATATTAGGAGCAAGAGAGTAGCTAGGGAAAAGGTAAATTCACTCAAGAACAAAGGAGGGTATTTATACATGGTGCCAGAGAAAGCGGGTGAGGTCTGGAATGAGATCTTTGCGTCGGTATTCACCAAGGAGAAGGATATGGAGGATGGTAAGATTAGGGAGGGGTATGTTGCTATTCTAGAGCATGTCGATATTAAGAAAGAGGAGGTATTGGGTGTCTAGAAAAACATTAAGGTAGATAAGTCACCAGGGCCTAATGGGATCTATCCCAGGATCATGAGGAAGGCAAGAGAGGAAAGTGCTGGGGCCTTGACAGAGATCTTTGTATCCTCTTTGGGCACAGACTGGAGAAGACTGGAAAATAGCCAATATTGTTTCTTTTTTTGAGAAGGCAACAGAGATAACCCAGAAAATTTCAGGAGCATTGATATACAGAGGGATCTTTGGGTGCAAGTCCATAACTCCCTGAAAGTGGCGACACAACTGGATAGGGTGGTAAAGAAGACACATGACCTATTTGCCTTCACTGGTCAGGGCCTTGAGCATAAAGTTGGCAAATCATGTTGTAACTGCATAAGACTTTAATTAGGCCACATTTGGAGTATTGTGTGCAGTTCTGATCACCCACAATATAGGAGAGATGTAGAGATAGTAGGAACTGCTGATGCTAGAGTCTGAGATAACAGTGTGGAACTGGAGGAACACAGCAGGCCAGGCAGCATCAGGGGAGCAGGAACA